TAAATTTTTTGGTATTAGTTTTGCTTAAAATATTTTTCTTAAATATTATTTTATTTTTTAATTGTAGAAAATTTAATTTTTTAAAAAAATATATATCTCATGAATTAATTTAAAATAATAGTCATTTTCAAATTTTAATTTTAATTACTCTAATAAAATTCTAAATTTAATCAATATTTTCCATATGTATGTAATTTATATTCTTTGGGAATGCTTTTTATTTTCAAATATGATTAAAATAATGAATTTGTGAAGAAATGTATTGAATATCAATGTTGTCATAAAAAATTTGGTATTATTGAAAAATATATAATACTTTTTGCACATTGAAATGTAAATTTAAGCATTTGATCTTCTGAATCACCTTCTCCTGATAATGGTCTTTAATTGAGTCAATAAATATGTTGCTGATTGCATTAACCTATCATATTATCAGCTTAGTTTCATTTGGGTACAGCTACTTAATATTTGACTATTTGTAATTAGATCGCAGGGGTTTTTTTTTGAAACCCTGCAATCTGATTGATTTCGACCAATTTTTGAATAAACTCGATCAAAATCAGTTGAAGTTCATATTGCTTAATACATGTTTATCTAAATATGATAGATAACCTTTTCATTCTTATGTAGACAACCAGAAATGAAATGATAGATTTTCAAGCACTCTAGTTTATAATTGTAATCATGAATGTAGTAGACAACGTTTACTATGTACAAAAACTCAAATCTTGACTAACCAAGATTATCCAATAGAGAAGTGATACTGGAGTTCATGTAGTTTGTAGATATAAAATAAATATAAACAAATCTATGAGAAATCCCGATTGCATCACAACGAAGAAAAATAAAAGACTTTAGTAGTGAATGACATTGTGTAGCACACCGATGTCCAGGTCTTGTGCTTGTATGGTGGTTCCTGTTGGCCTGGAAGGATTTTGGGGACATTCAGAGATTTGTTCACTGGTTAGATTGGATGGGTCTTCACTTCCTTGTTTTAGTGCTCGCAGGTTGCCTCCTGTTGACTTTGCAGGAATGTTGAGGTCTTCTGTCGCTGCCAGCTGATACTGGACAAAGTCTGAGAACGAATCTGAGCCAATATACCGTCCAGGAAAGGTATGGTCGAATGCAGTTACCACAGAATGTGTGGGTTCAGTAATTTGGTGTGAAAGCCACTAGCTCTAGCTCTGGCTCTTGCTGTACTGCAGGAATCAAGGATATATCATCGTCCTTTGGCGAGCGGAAATATCCCGACTCCGCTCGTGAGTCGTGACTGCTCGAGGCCTCAAGAAGTACGCTCCATCGGCAACCGTCAGTGCTGGGAAGATCGGCGATGATCGAAGACAGGCAAGGAAGGTAGATTGGATTTGGCTCAAACTTTTAGAAGGGACCTTCTTCGGGATTGGACCTGGCTCAAACTTCCAGCTTCTTTGTACAGTACAATGCGATGCGATGCTCGTGTGGACTCGGTCTCGATAAGGTACAACGGAGTGCGATTGCAGCGACTGCTGGAGCATGCAAGAAGTACGATTTGGGCATGCGGACAAAGCCGGATGTTTGAAATAACATCGCCTGGAGACAGATTGAATCTGGATCCGTTGTTGAAACGATGTAGCCAATGTACAGTGAGATACGTATCATGGAAATCTATCTGAGTGCAGACACAGCTGAGTGCAATTGCGATGACGTCAAGACGATCAAAAAGCCGCTGCTTGAGAATCAGCCAGAGAAGTTAGTTACTCGATGGGAAGTATCGCTGGAGAGACCTCAATATGTGGGACACAGCTAGCTTGTAGGGTTTATGCCCCACCAACACCTTCTGCGGTGCTATCCTATCAGAGTCGAGATTCACAACATTTGGATATGCATGTTTCCCTCTCCGTCTCTAGGCGTATCTTTCCCACTCACAGACCGTTGCTAGTACGTCTGAATATCCTCAAGCTTCAGGGTTTAAGGGAATGCACCCTGTTCGTCCCGAATTAATCCGGGGCTGCTTTTCACATATTCGGTTGAAAGCACTAATTAATATATATATATATACCGGTTTTACGAAAAAAAGAAAATGCCGTTCTTTTCTGTTCGACACTCTTACCCAACTTATCTTCACAATAATAATTCTGTAATGGCGATTCTGCACTGCATCTCTTGATACGAAAAAAAAAACTTCGTTCATAAAGTACTCATTTGTGAAATATCATTGCCAAAGACATAAAGGTATGCACATATCTCAAGAAGGTCAGATGGAAAATCCATAAATTAATAATCTACACCTCTCTCTATGAATAGTGAAATTACTTCTATTTAAGAATTTATCAATCTTCTATTGGGTGCCGTTGAAATTCGAGGAGTAGAGCACGTTTTGATTGTTGAAGACTTTCTTCCATGCGAGCATATTGACAATTTCACAATCGTGCAGACTCTAATAAAGGGCAAACCTTACATATGTAATTCACGGCAACCTCCGTAAGTAAGTTGTGTAAGAAAGAAGTCTGGTGTGACATAGGGACAATTTGTTTACCTTTTTTTTGCAGGCAGGTGTAAACAGTTCAAAACAATTCAAGTTGAATTCCATTACAAGGTAAAACATCTTAAACATTATCACGGTAATAACATCTTTCTTTCAATTCTAGTCTCTTCATTATTTTCCACAAATAGTTCGCACCTGCATATTAAGAGTTGATCTCAGTTTGATTTGGAGCGATTGATAGGGAATTTCAACGAAGGCATGAAGACAGAAGGGAAGTACACTCCAAACTTCAAGTATGCACAGAAGAAGAAATTCGAGTGTGGGAAATCTTGACATCAATGCTTCCCTTGGCTTATCAACTTGTACTCCGCGACGGATGCATCTCTACCCCCGTGTGTACTGGAATCATGATTCAGTGATCAGAATTGTACCACATAGCATCTCAGCATCCTCGGACAGACCTTGGTGTCAACTGCAGAGTCCTCTTCATTTGTAGGACCCAATGAGCTAGGAGAAGGTTCTAGTCTCAAAAAGAGAGTTGGAAGGAATTACTTGAAGATCTCAAAACGTCGAAAGACCTCTCTTCCAAAAGGTCCTTGTTTGCAATCACTGTCTAGGAAGCCCTTTGCGACAGGTTTCACGCACTTACTTTTGCTGATGAACACTTCAACATTACTTAACATCCGGAACTCGGCTGTCATAATTCCGTGGTAGGCTTATGAGAGCATGATGGTAAAGTACAACTTAGATGGAAGACGTATCGGCTGAGTATGGATGCCACAACGAAGTTGTACATCGTGGTTTTATGGAGGAAGAATTCTTATGAGGAAGTTTAGTAATCAAACTTCACACTCACGCCAGAGACCCACAAGGATCTGAGAGGGGAGAAACCGAGCCCAAAATCGAAAGCGCAAAAGATCTGACACGCGTCCGAAAGGATCACTTGTGCCCACCTTCAGGTGGAGAAGCATCAGTCGTTGCGCTTGCTCCAGTTTAGGATCGAGGGGCACGATAAGGATCTTTTGTAAAGATAGGATTGTCATTATGAAGATAACCACATGCTAAATCAAGGGGAAGGGAGACGCAACTCCAGCCTCTGCGGCGCAAGAAATGGCCTCTGCTTGTCACGAGATGGCCAGTGTAGTATTGCGTCCTACTACAACCCTTAAACTGCGCACCAGTCGAGGCTCAGCAGCGAGCATCAATGGATTCAGTCCCCATCCCATCATACAAGCCGAGCTTTGGCCTAGGAGTTCTAGGCCCGTCGTCTGCAGCAAGGTTCGGCAAGTAAGCGTAGCAACTGTTTCCATGAGGTGCCAGGTCAGGGAGGTTGTGCTGGTTGTTAGGATGTTTATCAACTACAAATGACCTCGGGAAACACAGCATGGGGAGCAATGTCGCAAGAGCTGCTGGAAGAGCAATTTGAACACACGAATGAATGGGCGGGGAGTGTTGGAACCATGCATAGAAAGCATCCAAGCATACGTTCACCAAATGCTTTCCGGAAAACATTAACCCGTAAGTCATTGACACGCTGCGGTGTGAATATATAGTAATCAGCAACTACTCACTCCAGTGCGCATCTTTACCCCCACCTCTACAGCGCCATGAAGTATATGTATAGATGGGGAGCACGCACTGCCATCTCCGACAACAATAAGATGTTCATCCCAAGAAATGTAGAGTAAGGGCTTGCACTCTTGAAGATGCATTTGTATCAAATGCCTAAAATAAAGGTGGTGAGTGAAGATGATATTAGACCTATTTTCCCAAAGTACGAAAAAGCACAACACCCAGAAGTACTGTATCGACCATTGGCAACTCCACGTATGTCTAGGCTTGAATTCTGTACATTGATTGGTTTGGATTAATATGGTTGTTTCCCATGGCATCTTGAATTCGCGTTTTTCCTGGCTAATGGATGAGAATTGTATAAAGAGAGATTACGGATATCCCGTTCTTAATTCGGGCTCAAGCTAACTCACAAGCTCAGACCTAATCAGGCTTATGACGTACGACTGCTCGGTTTGTCCAGGGCAATCGAGGTACAAGCCATACAAATGTGGCGGAAGTGCACCGAAAAATGCTTGCCATTGCTGCGGGAGGAATGAGGCGATCGTGTGGTCGAATACAGGGGAGGCGTGGCAGAGCGGGCTCTTCTCAAGGTCAGCAGTGGTCAGGTCATGCTGCTGTTCGCCTCAACACGTGGCTTTGTCTCTTCCTCTACCACCAACTATTCGGTCATTTCGCATATAGTAAGAGCGAGGAGCGAAATCCCAGAATATACCGTTACACGCGATTTACCAGCCGGCTGACAAAAGTTCTCTCTCGGAAGGTGGTTCTGGGCAACAGCAAGCAATCAGAAAAGCCGATCAAGGGCGAGGCAATAAGGTGCTGCGCTTATCAGCTTTGATTTCCCACATATGGCGGTGTCGTCACCCGCAGCTTAATTTACACGCGAAAGCGAAATGGGAGGTCGTTTGAGTACGGGAAAGAGTTCGGAGATTGACAAGTGGAACAGCAAGGCTTGAATCTCGAACGAGCTTTGCTGTTCCTAATAAAGAAACTCGGCCCGAGGGTGGCTTCTGCATTCGCAAGGCTTCTGAAGGTTTTGACGCTTTTGTCCAGACAGGTGCTGGGTTAGGGTTCTGGGAGATTTTTTATGCGACTTTGTTTGCGCTGTCAGTGTTCATGCGTCGAGAGTGACTGGTGGTTCTTCTCTGCTCCGTCCCTAAACCCTGAGTCTCTTGCTTCGAGACGTTCCTCTACCCTTCTTGAGATAATGGTTGGGAATACCGCGCAGGATGGATGCGTCGTCGAGAGATGAGAGCAGAACTTTGGTACTCGTTGTTCTTACAGTTTATATCGGGTGCTGCTGGATGCTTTCAATTGAATAAAGTCAACTCAATTTCTGTACTGCAGAAGATGTCGAGTTATCTTGGTCGATCGCGTCTCCGTAGATCGGATGTGTTCATAACTGTTCACCTATTGTGTCTCGCAGATTCTTCAGATTCTTGCGAACTGAGAAACATACCAACTCAAGCTTGTGTTGGAAATCTCTGATTCATCATGGTCGCAGAACGAGCTCAGGCCCCGCGATCTGCAACTGCGTATGTGGTTCATATGCTAAGGCTTGATAACAGCGGAGCGGTGAATTCTGCCCCTGACAACAAAAAAGGGCATGGGGCACGGCGGGATTTATCCAATGGAGACTTGGATATGGAAGGACCACAGTTGAGAGACGTGAATGTTAGAGAGAAGGCTATATCTGCTGCAGGCGCTGCTTTCGTGTCTGCAGTGCTAGTGAATCCCCTAGACGTAGCAAAGGTATCTCCTTCCTGCCGATCTCCAATAGTTGAATCCATATCTGTGCCGCAATTCTGAGTTGGTTATGAATTCAACCCCAAAAATGATGGGCCGACACGAGTAAGTCAGTTGTTTAAAACATTCTACCCCCCCCCCCCCCCCCCCCCCCCCCCCCCCCCCCCCCCCCTTAACTTTGACCTTGCTGCCTGCCGAACGTTAATTGTTTCTTGATTGCCGTTGCGTCTGTCGCAGACAAGGTTACAAGCACAAGCAGCGGGGGTGGATTACAATACTGTTGCATGGCAGCAGCTCCCAAGACACATAGAATCCATTGGCTTTGGAAAGGTTTGTATCATTTTTCTAATTCCTGCGTTGAAATCTAAATTTAAGAGAATCTGGGTCCTGTCTCTTGTCACTAGTTCTTGTTTTCCTCTATTTTCCAAGTTTATTGAGCGAGCTGTCATTTCGTACATGTTATCTGATTGTGATAACTCTCTTTTATTCTGCTCGCGTTAGGGATTATGTTTTTAGTAATTTGTCAGAGCCAAACGAAGAAAAGGAGGTTTTCACAGGGTGATGCTTAATCTGCAATTGACTGTCGTTCCTGCTCAGGTGATCAATGGCGGCAGATGTCCTCCTGTTTGTCCTCGAATTGGAAACGCTGGAGTTGCTCCACTTTGTCCCCCAGCCTGCTTCCAATACAAGAGCACCTTCGACGTTTTTAGCAAAGTAATCCGGCAGGTGTGTAAATTTTGTGCCCTCTCTCCAATCGATTTTCGCACGTCCATTACCAGTTAACTTCGGCAGTGAAGAGAGCATACGTCCTAGTTTGTTAGTGGAAGGAAGTCGAAGTAGCTTGTTATAATTGAATTCATTTTCTACGCAGGAAGGATTTTTCAGACTCTGGAGAGGAACCAACGCGGCCCTTGCGATTGCTATACCTACTGTAAGATCTATTTTTAGTTTATGTTCTCGCTTTCTTTGCAGTTATGAAAGCTTACTCTTTGTTTGATCAGTCCTGCAGTATTCGTAACCACCAATTTCCGTTCTGGGTACAGGTCGGAATATATTTACCTTGTTACGATATTTTACGGGAGAAACTTGAAACGGCTGCAACAGAAAGTGCCCCACTACTGAAACCTTACGCCCCATTTTTGGCAGGATCTGTTGCACGATCCATCGCTTGTATAGTTTGCTCGCCTCTTGAATTAGCCAGGACACGTATGCAGGTAAGAATGGGCCTTGGTATTTCGCAGTTGTGTGCATTTCATACTTTGCACTCATGCATCGAATGTTGTCTGGTTCGTTGAGCTCCTTACGATCTTTTCAGTCCATTTTGATGCAAGTCGATTATCAGTGAAATCAGTCTTCAATTCAAGCATAAAGTCACGGATTGTCATGTGGTTAACATCATCTTGTGCATTGAGTTTGGCGTCTACCTGGTCAATTTTCTTGATGAATTTGAGTTCAAGTGGATTGTGATATGTATGGTATCAGCTTCTTCTCGTGTATTCAAGTTACCGATGATGATGGTTTGACTGCTTTGGGTATTACAGGCCCGGAGAGAAATTCGAGGTGGTGTCAAACCTCCTGGAGTGGTCACTATCTTGAAAGGAGTTACGTCAACTATGACAAGTGCCAGTGGGCCATGTAAGAGCATTTTTTCATCCCTAATTTATTTCATCAGAACGATGATAAAAATGACTGTTGTTTACTGTTGTTAGGAACAGTATTTTGCCATTCGGAAGTGTGGATGTTATGTATAATCTCAACGATCTTGTTTGAGCGTATCTGCGTACAATGACAATTATGATTAGTGCATTCAGGTTTTGAAATCAATCCGCCTTGCACTATTTCTTACCTCAGTGCAGGGAATAAGACTCTTGTGGACCGGAGTTGGTGCCCAGTTGGCTCGTGATGTCCCTTTTTCTGCCATATGTTGGAGCACTCTCGAGCCTGTAAGTTTTGAGCTACTAGGGATATACCAATGAAATCTTTTACGCCACCGAGTTCTGTTAGTTCTGTGATAGCATATTGATGCATGTCATTCAGCTGTTGGTGATGGTCGCTGGCCTCCTATCGGATCTTCCGTGGCAGCCGAAATCGCAGCTATGTTACATGGAGTATTATTCTCCTCTCCATGTCAAGTGTTCAAAATTGCTCCTGTTTGACTACACCAGTAGCATTGTAGAGGTTGCAATTAAGGTTCTTCATTCGTCCCCACAGTGGTTGAAGCAGATAAACAGGAAGTAATTCCAACTCCCACAAAGAAGATAAACGTTAAATATCTTGAGAAGCCGTATCCAAGCGGAAGCTACGCACTGTTGTGCTGCGCTACGTCTTGACTTTCAAAACTTAGCTTACTGAAATATCTAAGTAGCTAAAGGTGAAATGACTCTAGATTGCTCTAGCGGATAAATTGGGACATCAAAGTCTGCTGTTTTCCTACTTGAAAGCTTTCGGGCTCTACAATCAGCCTTTCTGATTGATCCTTGTTGATCAGAAAGGCGTTTGCTCCATTCTCATCGCATTCTAAACTCTTGGGGTGATTTCAATGTCTACAAGCTTCTATAAGCAAACTATTTCTGGGAAGTCTAGTGTGGCATTCTGATTAAGGATTCGTCCTGCAGACAAGAAGATACATTTTGCAGATGGCTGGTCCCGATCCAGATGCATCCACTGTTATGTGTGCTAATCTCTCAGCTGGTATTCTAGCTGGGAGTATTGCAGCAGCTGCTACTTGTCCCTTGGATGTAGCTAAGACACGTCGTCAAATTGAGGTGAGGCTTTGTCTTCTGAAGTATCTGCTGATTGCCTGTTGCTTACTATTGATTTCTGAGGTCTGGAAATTGATAGTATGTAGATTTTGGGATTATCAATTTTCCGATGAGAAGTTACATCGAGAGGCTGATTAAATTTGAACTGACCGTGGTTATGGTTGGCAGCAAGATCCCTCAAAAGCAATGACTACAAGACAGACACTCCAAACAGTGTGGAGGTGAGGAATGCACTTGCATTACCAAGATAATTTTGCCTATTCGTGTAATCTATTAATATGTGCAAAACGGAGTACAGTAAATTTATACACTCTCGTTACCTTGACTTTCTTCGCAGTGTTCGTCTTACGGTAGTAATGTAATGCATCGAATACTTGGTGGTTAGATCGATACCTCTTGAATGGAACTGATGTCTTATCATTCCATAATATTCCGAGTGGTGTATTGGTGTGTGCAGAGATGCAGGAGTGAAAGGTTTGTTCACTGGCGTGGGGCCTAGAGTTGCTCGAGCGGGACCATCAGTTGCTATCGTAGTATCATTCTATGAGGTAGTAAAATACTGTCTTGGGACCACAGCCTTAGCTTGAAGTTGGACGACAGCACAGTATGTCAATGCAAAAGAAAAGGTGTATGGTACATTCCAAGTTGGACAAAAACTTCCGCTTGAGGGGAAGAAACAGACATCAGATCAGCCTGGCGAGATAATGGCAGTTGGGCAGTATAAGTGAGTCGCTGGGAGCATAGCAATTGCCGCTTCTCCCTATCAGGATATCCAGCTGTGACGAGACAGTGCATTCGGTTTTTGTCAGCTTGATCATTTCTTCAGAAAAGTTGGTCATTTTTGTACGACTATCCTGCCACATCTCAACAGGTCTGTTGCAGAAAACGCAATCAAATCAGCAATTAAAGTTTTGTAGCTCTAGTCTACTCCTTTGCTGCCTTGCTAGACGACCATGTGAGAGATTCCTTCGGCCTTGGGTCCATATGGGGAGCCTATTTTGATTCTCTTCGTCCTGGCTTGGATAGTAGGAGGTTGGATGATTCATTCAAACGTGACGGAGACGAGTATACTTATTAGCCTTCTATCGAACTTCTAAATTGATGAGACATGTTGTCTATACTACATTTTTGAAGGAAAGTTCCTTGAAGAAATCCTGTATTAATCTTCTGCCCTGAACATAAGCACCCGTATCGCCTGACAGTAGTCGCCTCTTTGCCTGAATTGCTCGGCACGTAGTGAGGGTTTAGGGCTTTCTTGTCTATACAGTCTTTTGAGAAATCTATACATTCAGAATTCTCTATATCTGCTTGTAACTGCTTCTTACGAGTTGTATTAGATCTAAAAATGATTTGAGACATGGCATTATTGTTATCTGTCGGTATGGCCCAATATGACGACCATATTCACATCAAATTTCATTTCGTATATAGCAAATTCTTAATCTTGAGTTGTATAAGGTCGACTTGTTCACAGAAAAACCTCAACGCGCAAAGCCCAGGTGCTACAAGAAATGTAATTGAACCAATGTCACCGCCGCATGTTGAAGGGGATGCGCTTAGTATACTACTTTTAGTACGCTTACTTTTGGAAGATGTGGAACCTTTCCTCAAGATATTTCACTTTAAAAAACACATGTCATTGTCTCAATGGGAGAGATGAGTAGGGATCATTGTGTAATATGTAAATGCGAGGAAATGAGAATGTGGATTTCGAAGTTACAGAAAATATCCAACAAATGCAAAAGTCCAAACAGTTGTCAAAAAATATATGTTATTTCCTTACTTGTATAAACTGTGTACATCTGAACAAGGCAAATGGGGATTTCGAGGTTAACCAGTACATGTGATTGCCATTACTGGGAGAGATGAGAAGAGATCAATGTGTTCTGAGTACATTGGATACATACAACTGCTGATTCAGAGATTAATTTTCCCTTGGACTAAATCCTCTATACATTTTAGTGACGGTTCAGAACTGGAACTGGAGTAGAGCGCAATGCCTAACTGTCGGACACGAATAAACCCAAACACGTAGTACAAATGAAAGTCGTTGCGCACAATAAATAGTGCTAGAACGCTCATACATCTGTGCGGTCGCATCTGAGATGATGAAGGCTAGTTTGCATATATTTCTGAGTTTTTCGCATCTGAATGATTGATTGTATTGCGTGTCTAGGAGTAACGTCGCAATGTAACTCTTAAGCATAAGCACTTTACCTCAATATATGCTCTTGATCAGTCGCAATGTAACTCTTAAGCATAAGCACTTTACCTCAATATATGCTCTTGATCAGTTGTGATTTGGTGTGGCAAAACATTTCGTAAAACTAAGAAATCGCTGTACTAAATAAGTATATTTTTTAGCCTTTGAGTAGTCTTGTAAAACGAGAAAATAAATCTCGATAGTCAGAGATAGCTTGATCAAAAGAAACCAGATAATCAATTACTGGATTGCAGTTGTAGTATAAAGTGGAACAAGGTAACTAAACAACGTTTTTGTATTAGAAATATTCCTTCATATTAATTGTACATTCAATATCATCAATACTACCACTACATAAGTTAAAACTCAAAACAGGTGGAACATAATCCAAGTATAGGCAAAAAATGTAATTTGAACCAGATTTTTGTTGCCAGAAACAAATCTAAATCAAATTATGCATACTCAATAAGCTTTTTGAGGAAAAAATGCTTTAAAATTTTAATAAATTCAGTATTTAAAAATGTCAAATTATTTGGTCTAACTATACAATATTCAAATTTCTAGTAGGTAAATGATGTATGCATATAGCAAAAATTAAAGATGAACATCTTGAAAGTTATGATGAATAATAATAATGCTTAAAAAGTAATGATTAAAGAAAGATATTCTTAGAAAACTATTGAATTTTCTATAATATTTTCACACAAAAGAATTTTATTTTTCTTCTAAATTCTAAATTGTCTGAGATAAAAAAAAACTTGCTATTTGATAAAACTTGAATGTTTAGATTAAAATATTACACTTTTGTTAATGTTTAATTTAGAATCACAAACAATAACAAAACGCATAAAATGAGGATAAGTTCACAAGAAGATGTAAGTGGTTCCTTTTTAGAGAGGGCTATGTCCAAGGGGAAGTTCACTCATGAGAATATATTGAGTGATATGTAAATCTTGGAATTAAATACTTAGCACGACAACACTACTAGCTATTTTTGCTAAGACATGAAGTTACTTTTTAATAGAAATTAATCTCAACCATCTCTTGCTTAACTCGTATTAAGGAAACAATATCCTATGAAACCTGTATTATCTCATTGCGGCAAGATATAGAAATAAATCTAAATACAAGATTATTTTTTACACAAAAATTAACTAAAACTAAATCATAATATGATAGAGTAATAACATAAAACGTTAGCTCACTAGAAAACTCATACCATACATAATTATTTGTGGTAAGTTCTAAAAAAAATCCTAATACACAAGAATTAATATATAACTAATCAACAGTCATTATATTATACAATAAATATATAAAGAGATATTCATTTGAAAATACTATGCTAACAAACTCTACATGTAATTCTCTCGCACAATTTGCATAGTAGTACGATGTAGTTTAAAGCTCTACAAAGAAATAACTTTGGCTAATTGATCAAGTGAATTGAGTGTACTCTCAATCTTGATTAGTTTAATCATCAGAGTTTGTTATCAATTTTGACTAGCTTAATCATCAGAGTTTGAGGTCAATTTTAACTAGCTCACTCATCAGAATTTACAGTCAATCTTGACTAGCTTAATCATCAAAATTTATCGTCAATCTTGACTAGCTTAATCATCAAAATTTATCGTCAATCTTGACTAGCTTAATCATCAAAATTTATCCTCAATCTTGACCAATTCAATCATTTTATCGGACACTGCTTGTGTAATAAATATACTTGATGTGGTTGTGTTTCACTCTATTGTACATAATTTGGTTCCAAACCAAATGTAAAACACTCCGACTATATCAATGAAGATTGATAATGTATTTCGTTAATTTTCATCTTCATGATAATTTTGTTGGCTACATAAAAAAACACATAGTTTATCTTAGAACTCTATAGTATCGGTACTTATATTGATCATTAATCACATAACGATCAAACTCTCCCACAATCATACATGCAAGTGGAAATTTTTCCTTGTCATCTCCATGACACAGCCTTCTATGGCCGTCACACTTTACAATTTCATCATTACTAGTGTTTGTTTTTTATTCTCTTGCACATAAGCAAAGATTTTCATGTTACTACAAGTGGATGGTGTCTCATAAATTCATAATGAAAAATATATCATATTGTGTCAAAGAATACCATCCAATCTAGGTGAATTGTTCTCCATTCTATATAACATTCGAAAAATGTATTATTGATATTTATTTACTGGAGCAGTATAAACATAGATTAAAATAGAAACTAATCAGATTTATAATTCATGCATTGTAGGATCTCTCATTCACTTTCCATGACTCTAGACAACTCCAAAGCAAGAGAATTAAAGATGTGACATGTCTTGTATTTTCATGTTTGTCGGAAATCTAGGTTGTTGCTGTTCTACTCAAACTCCACACTACTCCATGAAATCGGAGTAATAATCACTCGGACACAATGCCACGTGCATGATAGGGACAACATGGTATGTTTGCCGGAACCGAATCTACAATCCGCAATTTGCGCTAATGCCCACCAATTTAAAAGGGATAATTGTGACACATTACGTTCAATTCTAACAAGTTGTACAGCGGTTTTGGAGGCTTGGATGAACTTGGTTTGTTTGGAGAAAACAATCTGAGCCGCTGATTTAGCGGAAGTTGTGGCCACGTAGTATCGAGGTATCGTGGCATTGATCGGAAGTTCGGCGGTGGACTTTGCGTGACTTCTTATTGCAAGTTACAGCAACCGGCTGACGGCATATGCGTCCGAGTCAGATAACCCTCCAGTGACACAGACCAGCTCCACTTTTGGCAGTGTGGGCAAGCATGAAGCCCTGCTGCCGGATGTCCAGCACTTCAAAGTGGCCAGTAGCCGCCCTGGGCCGCTAATAGTACAGTAATGATGGTAATAATAGTCTTCTCCCAGTCCACTCGGACCGACCGACTCATCGAAACTGCCGACGTGGACTTTGCGGCAGTAAATTGGGGATTTGGGAGGGCCGATACAATTCTGCTGTTCAGCACAACGCAACATGAGGAACCCGGAAAATATCGATGTTGACGCTATGATTTGCTCATTTGCTTCCTCTGCACTGCATCATTACCCCAGGGACGACCCCCAACTGAATTTCCGAGAGCTTCCACGCAATTTACAGCGTTCAAATGTGGACCGGTGATGTCGCCCGCAGTAGAGCCTCTGGATTTTTTGGTCGGACTTCCAGCGGGAATATTTGAGGCCGCAAGTCCTGTGCTCCACCTTTCTTGACTCACACGTGTCCTTTACCTTCTCCAGAGGTACAGTATGGTAGAGTAACGACGGGGTCCGTGCTCTCATAATTGCACGAATTTTCTTTGTCTCGGAGCACGAAGAAGAAGATTTCTGCAGCATGGTTTATAATACTTATGGAACTGCGACGTACAACAATCCACTAAAACTAACGTTTTGATCGATACTTTTATTTTTGGATTTCAAGGTGATGTGCATCTTGATGTCTTCATCATTTGCTATCATAGCACAAGGAGTGTGACCACAGTACTCGTATGCATATTTGGCTTAGCAGCATCAGGCTACGGGTTGATGAGATATTCTATTCCATTACAGTATTTGCTATATTACTTGGAGTAGCAAACAAAGAAAACCTCGCCCGTCCTCCACTTTCTTCTCGGATCATCGCAGACCACGAAATCCATTACAACAGCGTCTTTCTCCAAGCGTAGCGATGCATGGGCAAGACATAGTAGAGGGCACGTGGGAAGTGCGTGCTCGGTCCGAATGATGACCTTATTACCTGACGACGTCCGTAGTCATTAGCCAAGAAAGTCCGAACACCAACGCTGTAGATCTGGGCACAGTTCCAACTCTGACCGCATGTAACCCGGTACCTACCCCAACTCTGTTCGTCGGTGACAGCAGAACGACCGATAACCTGGTTCTCTGAGGGAGTGGCAAATCGCAGGATACGCACAAGAGAAACACTGAACTTTGAACTGCGGACGTTCAACTGCACCCAGTAAAGGCTCGAAACTCATCGTCGGATTACTTCCCAGAGTAAGATCCTTCCACAGACATCACCTCGGTACCGAGTTCATTCCTCAAGCCTGCGTGGTGGTCGCTGGCGACCGATTCTCAATCTGAAGGCTGCGATCGACCCACCTGGCGCTCCCCGAGCTACCAGGCAGGTGCACATGTACAGAGAGTCTTGACTGCGTTATTGCCACATACTTGGTATGTGCTGCAGAAGGCGGCTGCGGATGGCGGGGCTTTCAACGTTACGGAACGGAAACCAGTTCGGCGCCGAATCGCGCTCGTGGTTCCAGAAACCAACCAGCGAACGACTGGCTGACTTGCTGGAAGGGAACAAGAAACCGGCTGGAGACGAGAGCGTTGGTCCATTAGGACGGGAATGGAGTCCGGAAAGTTCCCCATCTCTGGAGCTTTTCGATCTCCTGTGGCTGGACCGGCATTATCGGTGCAGATCATGACCGGAGAGTACATTGGTCACGGCAGGGACTCGGCTCCGCTATTTGGACTGAACGTCCAGAACGGACTGAACGAGTGAAGGTGAAATTGGAGTGACGAGTGTGGAGCGCATGCATTCTTTGCCTTGCGTATTTCTTGGATGCTGGAAGCGAGTACAGACTAGGAATGTTGTTCGTCGCCGTATGAGTAGACCCCGAAGTTAGTCAATTCGCTCTGCGGAGCTCTGCTTCAAGTGAGTAGATCTATCCGATTTCCGGCGTTTGAGGAGTCCGCGTCGTCAATTTGAGATTTTCGAGCGAAGCAGTGACAAAGAATTGAGCGTTACGTCAATTTTGCGGGCATTTGGGAAGACCGAAGGGCGTGTAAGATCAGTCCTTTCAGCTGTCGTGATCTGGTTGTTTGCAGTGTTGTACTTCTATTTGGTGGTCTTGGGCCCAGCCAAGTGCTTGTCCTACGAATATACTGTGCTAGTCGGCTCCGATCGTGTGCTAGATCAAGATTTTTGTCTCAATTCTGCTCTTGCTGCATTTGTTCAGGGCCTGTAAAGGATCAGCTGACAACCATGGGTGATGAGGACATACAATCTTTCTTGGCTGAGTGTAAAGAGTCGGGTGACAAGGCGTACGGAGCTTTGAAGAGCGTGTTGACGAAATTGGATAATGTGGACTCAAGAGCAGAAGCGAGACGCTTTCTTGACCGAGTGGAGACATATGTAATTACAGAAGAACCCGATACAGACACTATTTCAACTTATCATTTCCGAATTCATGAACTTTCACTTTGTGGACAAAACGGTAATTACGAATGCTTCACTCTCTTAGATCACGTTCCAACTATAAATACATGTTCTTGCCAAAATTCATTTCATCAGTTAACTCTCGAGATCTCCAACTCGTAGTCGAAAGACGTAGCATTTTCCAAACCTGCACCCTCGGCACTGTAGATTATGAGATTCCACCTGCTCACATTTTTCCGGGGGTTGTGATATTTTGACAAGAATCTGCCAGGAAGAAGAGGTACACCTCTTGCATTCAAGGCGAATGAACAGTGTAGACGAATCTCTGATGCAGTTGCGCCTACAGTTGTATACTGCTATCTGACATTGCTTCGTTTTTCCCGCTTTGTATTCAGGTACAATTAGCAACTGCACCCAATTCTTGATCGATTTTGGTAGTCTAGTCAGAAGGCTTTCTTCGTAGCCCTGGAAACCAAACCACATTTCTGACTTGGCTTTTGATTTTCATTCGAGTTTTCTCATCTGATAACTTCCAGTGACAAAGCAAACTCGCACTTTTAACGTACTTCCACTTTTCAGTTGTGCTGGACTGATAATATGATACAAGCACTCGCTTTGTCGCGAGTCATGTTCGCATCTGCTGAAGATAGGAGAAGATGGGATAATGACGCTAATAGACTTTGCCGATAGTCGGTATAAGGTTTTCTCGGGATTGCGCTGCTTGTCACTCTGCTGTGTTTCTTGACCCTTTTTTTTCTTCTTTTTCCCAACAATGAGCGCACCACACCTCGATCATGAAAGTCTAATCTGGACCGTCCTGATGTTTAGTGCACAGTAATCAATTCAGATGATTAGGTTGATCCCCCCTATGGACTTTTGCCACTTCAAAGTTCCTACTCTCGAAACACAAACCGTTAGTAGCGGATATCAAAGACGATTACTTGAGGTAGTTGCCGTTATCGATTTCAGTGTATATGCATCAATACCTGGCCCAAGATGAGACGTTTTCACTTCCCATGGCAGAAGTAGACTCTCGTGACGATTCTTCGTGTCAAGTAGAAGCCATTAGATCACCAGTAAGTCGATATCTTTCACAATCCCATCCATTGGAAAGATGTGTTTATTGAGCAGCCAATTAACTATTGTGCTGTCCCGGCCGCTTAATTTGGCAGGGTACAGCGAAAATGGACAGAAGATCAAGTTGCTGGAACTTCCTAGTATATTCATACCTGAAGATTGGTCGTTTACTTTCTTCGAAGGTCTCAACAGACATCCAGAAAGCGGTTTTCAAGACCGTGATGTAGTGGAGTTGGGATGCGGTAATGGATGGATATCCCTGGCTCTCGCCCAGAGATGGTCTCCAAGGAAGGCAAGTGAAAGCCTCACTTGTTTAAGCTGATGTGTATGGCAATGTCTTTCAGTTCAATGTATGAACTATGACTGAATCATCAACTTCTCTCTTCTTCCAGATTTATGGGTTGGATATCAACCCACGCGCTATCAAGGTCGCTTGGATCAACCTCTATCTTAATGCTCTAAATGGAGATGGCTCACCTATTCTCGATCATGAAGGAAAAACTTTGATCGATCGGGTTGAGTTTTATGAATCAGATCTACTTGCTTGGTGTAAGGACCGCAACATTCTGTTGGATCGCATCGTCGGCTGCATACCACAGGTACGCTTGGTGCTAAGTGAGAAGTTTACCTGCTAAGGATGTTTACAATTACGCCTGTTTCATCAAATTGAAGAACCCTGATTTTGTTGATGTTCATACTGTTTGTGATGGCGCATATGTATTTATGACAACACATGGCTGACAAGTGTCAGCTTAGGTGGGACGCTAGTGGCTCAGATTCTAAGATATGTTGGACCATGACGTGTACCTCTTAATTGCTCACATCCATTTGTTGCTTTTGGAATTAAAGTTGACATGTGTGCACAGGTTCTTAACCCCGACCCTGAGGCAATGCTCAAAATGGTCTCAGAAAATGCCAGTGAAGATTTTCTGTACTCACTGAGCAATTATTGTGGACTTCAGGTATATACTTTTTCTATCGTTCAAGTATAGCACCGTCCTCTCGCTTCTTTTCTGTCATCAAATCCAAAGAAGTTGCTGAAAAGCTTATCGTAATTGGAGATTCCAAGGCTCAGCTGTTAGCTTCAGCGATTGATTTTGAAAATATTTACGACTTTGTCTGCAGGGTTTTGTCGAAGACCAGTTTGGCTTAGGACTTGTTGCAAGGGCGGCAGAGGAAGGTATCGCTCTTCTTCGACCAAACGGTGCCATGATATTCAATATCGGTGGCCGTCCAGGCCAGGCTGTCAGTGAGCGCTTGTTTGAGAGAAGAGGTTTTCATATCAATAAGCTCTGGCAGACTAGAGTTAATCAGGTGAGACGTTCAATTGTCTATTGTCTTCTAATTAACTTTTTGCAAAGTACCTGAGGTATTGTTGGTCATTCTTTCCCATGTTTTGGATAGCAGGAAGAGCGTATAGCGATTCAATTTTTCGGTTATTGCAGGCAGCAGACACGGACATTTTGGCCTTGGTGGAGATTGAGAAGAATAGTCGTCACCATTTTGAGTTTTATATGGGCCGTGTGTGTGATGAACCCATCAGTGCCCGAACAGCATATACCTATGCTAAAGCGGGAGGAAAGATTGCTCATGGTTTGTCGGTATATGAATGTCGCCTCAGGCAACCGAAGCAGGTACTTCGTCACATTATTATAAGAGTAGCTGAAAGGAACTTGCGGAGTGTACATTTTATATCCAGAGGTTTGGCATGTAGATGCTTGAGAAAGAATTGAATATGTCGCGACCGCGACATATTCAATTCTTTCAGCTTATTTCAGCTTCAGGTTAACAGCTTTGTTTTCCAAGCTGTTAACCTTGCTTATGGATCCCCGAGAGTCTCCGCTTCACCTTGTCGACGTTGGTCATACTACACAACACTGAGTTTCCCTCCCTGAAGTTTGGTGTACGTACCTTGTAAAACCTGTGTCGTTCGAGAGATTCTATACAATCTGCTCTAATCTCCAATTCTCTTCATTCTGCTTTCAGGTAAAGACGATTTTCAACTTTTTAAGTGAAGGCTTTGAGAAGACCAGAGGTGCTTTGGACCTATCTTTCAAAGAGGAGGCTGTAGCTGATGAGAAGATTGCATTTCTTGCCCATCTTGCACAAACGTTGACAGGGATGCCTTACTTCCCTTTGGAGCTACCAACAGGCAGCCCAGTGTTTCGGGGACTCATTTCCAGTTTCTTGCGGAATTATCATCGCGTCCCGTTGACACCAGAAGTAAGCATATCCTAAGTACTATGAAGAACCTCATTTCTCAATCAGATACATTTTCCAATTGAGCTACATTGGTCTAGCTAACGCGTTAGAGTTTTTGGTGTAAGATGGAAATCAACTTCTCGAGCAATATAAAGGACATAAGCTCATGACCTTGAAATTTGTTCTTGGTTGTTTCTGCGCAGAGCGTAGCTGTACTTCCTTCGAGGTCAATTGTAATAGAGAACATTATACGTCTCTTTGCACCCAAACTTGCTCTAGTGGATGCAAATCTTACACGGTCGCTGCCAAAGAAATGGATTACATCCATGCCATCTTTTGAGGTAATTCAGACTTCTTCTTGAACTTCTCTAGTTAGCCAAGTCAGATAGGCAAGAGCAGTACAGGTACATGGGCAAGATTCCTTACCACGTCTTATCTGTCATGGTATGATTTTGGCCATTTCCTACCCGAGAGACTAGGATATGATAATAATTGCAAAATTTGTCGAGATAAAACAGGCTTAGAAAATTCTTTGAACCAGCAAACTTCAAGTTAGGTCAGGCCATCAGCTTTGGAAGAAGTGAGCACCTATCTTGAGTTAGAAGTAAGTGAACTCGGTCTTCTTATTGTTCCAGTGTTAATCGGGCAGATCTTTCAATTTATGTTTTGACAATTGTGTGGGTTTGCAGGACAGCGCAGAAGCCAATGGGAATCATACTGCAGTTGATGACAGCATAACTGTCATTGAAGCGCCACAACGCACGGATCTTGTGACACAGCTTGTCAAATTTTTAAAACCTCAAGTTGTAGTGACCACCTTAGCATCCTTTGAGATGCAAACGTCAACTGCGTTTGAGCAATTGCTAGATATAACTGAAAAAGTCAGCGCTCGGCTTTTTCTAGATATATCAGATCATCTTGAGCTGTCAAGTCTTCCAGGCACGAATGGGGTTTTGCAGTACATGGCCTCTCATTCCTTACCCCTTCATGCCACAATCATTTGTGGTCTTGTGAAGAATCAGGTTTGCAATCCTTCTGTGGTTCATATTCTGATGTTTAACGTTATGGAGACTTGTTAGTATCATTGTCAAGCCTCGTTCTATGTTCTTTTTGTTACTGAGTTTTAGTGAGGTTAGTGGCCCAGTTCTGGATTATACCTGCTGTCGTATCCATTGCTGGATGTTTGCTCGGTAACGGATCAGGGATTTGCACGTTTTATTTGGTATACATGTGAAGAAGAAATTATTTTCATGCTTCTCACTCCTGTATACACTTCGTTTTTGCATCAGGTTTATTCAGATTTGGAGGTTTCATTCGTCATATCTGAGAACCAGGATCTCTTAAATGCGTTAGCAAAAACTAGTGAGCTTACGTGCGGCCAAACAGCGTACACCAGCCAATTTTACTATGGAGTTCTTTTGCATGAGTTACTCAATTTTCAGCTTTCTGATAGGCACAACCACTTGCAGGTATTCATGTCTGTTGGATGCTGATAAATTTATCAAGCCTCTGTATACTTTTAACGCGAGAAGTTTGTACCTGGCGTGATAGCACATCCAACCTAAAGATGAATCCTGTATTTGGCTAACACTAGATCTTCGTTTCTCACTGCTTTACGAGATTTATGTTTGCCCGTTCCTTTCCTAACTCTTGTGTACATTGGATCTTACAGAGACTTCCCAAGAAAGAGCAGGACGGTTCCAGTTTCATCGGATTTGCTGAGAATGCAAATATTGCGATTGGTGAAACAGAAATGTCCAGCTGTCAGCCACAATCTGTCGAGGTTGTGGATCTGCGGAGGGAAGAAAATGCTCTGCTGTGTCCTCTAGTTGTGAAAGTGGCCGTTTTTGAAGGCTACGCCCGACAAAACATTGCGGAATTTGAGATGGACCCAAAACCAGAGATTCTTAAACTTGTTAGAACTCTTTGCGGCATCTCTTCGAAAGATCTAGTCCTGAGCAGCAGTTCAGTTGCTCTCTTCACAAAACTTGTCTCGGCCTGTGTTGAAGAAGGTGGCACTCTTTGCATTCCAAGAGGATCAAACGGAACATTTGTTTCTGCAGCGAAGTTACTGAAAGCTAATATCAAAGAGCTTGTAACGAATATTAGTAACGATTTCAAGCTGACAGGGAAAATAGTGGACGAGGTCTTGGAAAAAGTAGATAAACCCTGGTTGTACATCTCTGGACCGACCATTGCCCCTACAGGTCTCGTTTATTCTCATGATGAGATAATCTCCATACTAGGAGCCTGTAAGAAACACGGAGCAAGGGTTATCATTGACAGCTCATATTCGTGGCTGGATTATGAGGAGCCTTGTGTATGGAATTTGGAAGATGTCTTTGGAAAGGATACCAGTTCCTGTGATGTGGCTATCCTCGGAGGAACCTCTCAGCTGCTGCTCACCGGAGGTGTCGAGTGTGCATTTGCAGCACTTAACGGTCCCTTGTTTATTGAAGCCTTCAAGGATTCACCAAACATGAGCAAGCCACACGGCACATTGAGGTACTCAGTCAAGAAGCTGTTACAAATGCTTGAAGAAAAATCAAGTGATCTGCTTGACGGTTTTTCTTCGCACAAGAACACTCTAAGACATAGAGCTGAATTATTACAAAAGGTAAGCCTCCCTATCAATATTAAATGTATATCTGCGTTGAAGCAAACTGATTTGTCTTAAAATCACTCCATTTATCACTATTATGACCCAGGGGACGGACATTCTCATAGGTTAACAATTGCTTCTGAAAGCATATAATGTCCTATTTGCACTGAAATCAGCCTACTGGTTACCCGTTATATGTGATGCACCCCTGAGGGCATACTTGTTTCTCTTTTTTTAAGCTAATTCCATATACTCTCCTCACTGCAGGTTCTCTTGGAATGTGGTTGGGAAGTAATCATGCCATCTTCCGGGATTTCCATGGTGGCTTCTCCAGCGTCATATTATGGGAAAGACATATCGCACGAGGCTTCTGGTGCAGTTGAAAAGATAAAACTGGACAACAAGAATTTTACTGATGTTCTTGTTGAAACGACCGGTCTACATGTGAGCAGCAGCGCTTGGACTGGAATACCGGATTATGTTCGGTTTGTGATTTCTGTCAAGGAGGAGGACTTTCAAAAGGCTCTACGATGTATAAAAAGCTTTTCGCAAGCTTGTAACTGACCGCCGACATTGAAGAGGTATGAGTGACATCGACAAAAGTTAGTGATGGAGAAAACTTATCGTCTATCAGACAGCATATCATAGAAGTTCAGTAACCATTAATGCATGCGATTTCACCGATAGTGGGCTGCGTTGTGGGGTTAGAATGCCGAAGTTTTGGTTGTATCTATGATAATGTTTTAGCGAACAGTGAACGTGCGAAATTCACCGGTATATATGTATAAACCGTCATTATTATTAATGATTCTGAATGCTCGATGTATAAAATTGTTGGACACCATTCAGCCTGGGCATGGGTTATCATAACAGGCAAATAGTAACAGATGTTCTTTTGTAATCATGTAGTCACAAGTGGTGACAGGCCAGATTTGGACTGTCAAGTACTCTTCATGTTGTGGTCTAAATGGACAGGAGGGTTGCTCTCTGTTCTCGCTTCTTCCTTGCTCTTTAGCGTACAAGAAGCTCAATCCCTTTAGTCTTCTTTTCTCGTATCATTCAGCTAATTGTAATATACTTTTAGGCTAGAGAGGCGTGCATATAAATTGCAAAATCAGTAGGAAGGAGTTGTTTTCAAGAAATTTGGGTTTCCGATACTGAAGTATGGTGTTGGTGAAACTGCATGATGGTATTTCATGGCTTTAACGCAGATTAGATATTTTGCTTTCGCAGGTTTAAAACCTGTACCCGGTGAAGAGATCTGTTCTGAAAGCTGAATTGAGGATTACGTGGATTTATGTTCTTTCTTAAGATCGTCCAATTTGAAGTACGGAATGATGGTAAGGTTGACAAGTAAAGGTAGAAGGTCCAAGACACACGTCTTCTGATTTTACGTGAACTTCGCGGACTTTCTTTGCCGAATTACATGGATATAGGGGCTCCTATTGGTTTGTAGGGCACATGCTTCGAGTAAAGCTGTATAATATCTACGATCATGAACCCAACTGATCAGTGCTCCAAGGACTGGTGACAAGCTAACAATCACTCTGAATTCCATGTGGAATTCGACGCCGACTATTCAGGTAAATATAGTTCAAAGTTCAAACAAGCTTAGAGTAAGCTCCTCACTTATTCTCACTAATATATGGTGCTCAGGCATGTTGTCCCAAATTTGAAACAGAAGAAAGCCCGTATGAGATTGTGCCAAAAGTCAAGATTAGTTATTCACGACTATGTTCCAATGCTCATGTACGTGAGTATTGGTTCCTGTAAGTAGAGCGGTCCAGCTCAACCCTTTATGTAAAGAAGTTGATTCTCATTAAGATTGTCTCGCGAAGTTTATTGATGTATTTAGAAGATTGTGCGATAACTTTGATGTCCGTGTTAGCGGGCATTTCCAGATTGTGGCTCTTTCATTTCTTAGTCAATTTTTTGGAGTTAGCACCCAGGTGGATCAAGCTTCTCAATTTGTGGATCAACTTGGGAGTTCGGCTTGGTGGGGTACTCCCATCTTTTTTGTTACCCCCTTGTCCAGTCTCCAAATAGGCTTGTTCTCTTGCACCTCAGTGTGTTTGTGAAGATTGCGTGCTTAAACACAAACCGCGTGTGGAGGACAAGACTTCTTACAAAAGTCAGAAACACCTCTGCCTCGCCCCTCCTTACGAATCAGGACATTCGCGAAATCCGATCGCATCTGTTTTTTCAGCTGAACACTTATAAAATGATCTGATTTCGAAGACACTGCTTTCGTGTATGAATCCAACGTAAAATGGAACAAGGGTTTGGATTATGATCGAGAATTTCATCAGTCCTCAAGGACGTTCACCAAGAATCCTATGAATCTTTACCTCCCATGTAGAGCAACTATGGACCTTTTTTCCTTTGGCTTCCTTCACTGTGACAGAGTGCAAGGACTGCTATCTCCGAATATATAATGCAAGCATGTGTTAGATCTTATTGAATTGCCCGAGGAAAGTATTCGTCGTTGTGGAAGGACGACCAGAAAAAGGCAATTCTCATAGCTACCATTGCTCAATCAGCGTCGACACGCCGAACTGGCGGTATGACGGTCAAGTTTTTCCAAAAAACACAAGTTGCCGAGAACTCAGCATTTCAGATACACTTCTGTATCTGGCTTCTCTACTACTTAAATCACAACATACAGACACAACGTCAGCGGTAGAAGATACTATATTCTTCGTTTCTTGAGTCCAAAATGTTGGTTTTTGGTCGGTCTTAGCCTTCCTTGCATGTACAAGTCTAGAAGCAATTGTCTTCGCAGAATGCTATCTTTTCTCGAAGAACTCTGAAATTATTACGTATGAACGTTTTCTTGAGAGGATGGTGGCTGTAGAGAAGTCGCGTACAATTCCTATTGAGTCATTAGCGAAATCTTATCAGAGTTGTTGGTAGCCATGGTCATTACCGTTTCAAGGTTCGCCATGTACACTAAAACTCGTTTATTTGTTTTAAAGCATAGAAGAATCTAATCACCGGGAAAACATCTCCTTGTAAAAGATCAAGTGATAGTGAAATTTTAGTTGATTCCCTTGAATTTTTTCTCTTTCTTGTCTATTGAAATTGTTGAATCCTGCGAATATCTGGACTCGCTACTCTGAATATCTTGTCATAGAAAAATACTTGAGATTTTGAGAAACTGTCATTCGCTTGAATCATAAAATGTACAGAATTCAATAGTTTTTCATAAGAGAAATATTAAGTACTATTATTATAAAAAAGTTTTAAGAAGTATTTCATGTTAGATGGTACGTGCATTATGTTCGTACTTTGCTCGTGGCTTACATGTTATCTTTGGACCTAAACACAAGAGATTTTCACCAAGTAAATTAACATCATGCATATTTGAGTTCAAATGAAACTTTTGCTCTAGCCCGTCAATTTAAATTATTGCTGAATCGTGTACATCCTATATTATGTATTGTGTTACTTACATTATTGATGTGTTTGCAATAATCTGTCAGCATCTCACAATCGTTATCATATGTAGTTTGAAATTTTGTTTCATTTTAATGAATCAAGTTTTCAACTCTCAATCAAATAATCCAAACCCAAGAAAACCAATCAAATTTTGTAATGTCTTCAAATCAGCTCTATTATTCTATCGTATGAAAATCACTAAAATTGAGATTATTCTATTTGGAAGATAAAGTTTCTATTCTTGCAAGATGAAGTGATGAATAATGCATTCTGAATATTTTTTTCCTCGTTGAATATATGATGTGGTGTGATTTTAATTTTGTTTAGTGTGATGTGATATCTAATTTTTAATTATATATCTTGATTATATTTATTTAGAAATAAATCAAAATCAAGAAATGTATCAATTGAGAACATGATTTGTACAATACCAAACCAAAAATAGATATATGTTGAATTTTGTAATGATTTCTTTTTTGCATCAACAAAGATATTTGAAATTTATTAAATATTATGGATGAATAATAAAAAGTCTATCTAAGAACCTGAAATTAGATTAAAAAATGACATTTATTGAAAGATAGTATATAGTTTTACTTATAGTTATTGATGTCATTCAAAAACATTTACAAAAATCAATTTAAAATTTATCAATATATATGATATATTGAAAAGCACAACCATCAAGATTGATGAGCACTCATACTAGTCACAACATCAGATAACGTGATTCAACTTTCAAAGGCTACGTACATGGATAAGAGTAGAAAACTCACTAAAGCATAGGTGTATACACAGACTCCATAGTCAAGCTTTGTTACTTTTTTTTCACTCTCAAAGTGCAATACTCAACTGTACTTAGTGAATGGTTACTTCTTTCTTCCATACAAGAAGAGATAAGGTGCACATATTAGTTAATCTAACCACAATTAACTTTTCCAACCATGATTATCATTAACTAGAGTTAATCCAAAACAGAGTTAACCTAACAAATTACCCATTGACTCAAGTCTTGGAGAGATATCTAATGCAATTCACATGTATCTCTGCAAAAAGTTCTAGAAAGTAAAACTAAATCATGTTTTTCCGCATAGTCGATAGTTAACTAGAACTAAGTTGTAACCAACAAAAACACCGTATGGAGAATACATGTACAAAAGTTATTAGACTAACCATCATGTGCAAAATTTGCAACTTTACACAATGCTTGGAAAAACTTTCCAATGAAATCATTTTGGTCAATGCATTGGTAGGATGAACTAACCATTTTGATGAGCTTAAATGCACCGTCAGACACCGCTTGTCTGATATAATGATATTGGATATCAGTGTGTTATATACTATCATCTATCACATTGTTTGATGCTAGATGAAGTGCACTATGGCTATCACAGTAAAGATTCATATCATTGTGTGACAGTCCCATATCTAGCCAGCTTGTTCAACCAGATTGACTCCTTTGATGCTTCTGCTGTTGCAACGTATTCAACTTCTGAGAAATGCATTTTTCAAGTGTAGATCTCCAAGTTATGCATCCACTAGAAAGAGTGAAAACTTACCCAGTTGTTGATCTTTGTTTATTCAGATCTCCTCCATAATCAACATCAACATACCCCAAGAGCAAACTTGCATTGTTTGATCGTGCATCAAAGAATAATCTAGTATCAAGAGAACCCTTGATATAGCTCATTATACACTTCACAAGTTCCCCATGCTCTCGTCCGGGATTTGACATGTATTTACTAACCTTCCAAACTGCATATGCTATATCATGTCTAGTGCGTACTATTAGATACATAATACTCCCAATTTCACTTTCATAAGAATAAAAAACATTAATTTTTTTGCAATTGCATTAGTTGGACATAAAGCTGCCGAAAGCTTAAAGTGTGCAAGTTCCCAAATCTGGTTGTCATGAAGTGATTTCATTTCCTTTCGCATTGATGCATTTCAATCAAGCTTTTCCAGGATTGATTGAGATTCACTATAAGAGGACAGACCCTCATACTCTATGATTAGTGCTTCTCTTGAATCATCAAAAAGTAGGTTCTTGTTCCTAACAACATGTTTAATAGGAAATCAAATACCATACCTTTTGTATGCACGACGAACAAATGTTGGTCTTGCAGTTGAAAACTCTGGTTGATCACTATATGCTAATTCAGATGGTGGCTCACCAGCAATGTGTTGCTCCTCATGATGGATCTCTTCAGGAGCAAAATCTTGCTCTTTTGTCTCGCCCGTTACTTGTGGAGCACTCCATAAATTTGACGCGTTTTATGAATTTTCAAATTCATAAAACGCGTCAAATTCATGGAACATATAGTCCCCGTGGCTATCCGAGCGCAAGTGCTTCACCTCTCTCTTGTCTTAGTCTCAACTTGAGCTTTCTATTTCTTAAAATTGACAAAGATATCAGACTTGCGTGGAAGAAAGTAGATCCACACATATCTTGAATAGTCATCAATAAATGTAACATAGTACCCCTTTTCAAGTTGTGAAGCAACAGGGATAGGTCTCCACACATCAAAATGAACACACTCAAGAACTATGAACGTCGGGTCCAAAATTTTGTGGCTTTTCAAATACATACAGATGTCAAGGTTGCAAGATCTCAAGCTAGGTAATAAATTTGTTTGTGTAAAATGTTCATACCTTTTTCACTCATTTGGTCAAAACGAGCATGCCACAATCTACTCTCATTCTCCAATGATCTTGTAGCATTGGCCTCACCAAGAATTATAGATCCCTCCAAGATGTACAGATTTTTTTGCTTGTGAGCTTTCATTAACACGTTGGAACCTTTTTCAACTGTGGAGATTCCATCAACAGCTTTCCTCTCATGTCAACCTCCTCGAGTGAAATTAAATTCTTACACATACTGGATATGTGTTCAACATTCGTCAATGTTAGTACTTTTTCACAAAACATTTGAATTTGAATGGATCCAATACCATCAATTTTACAAGAGTGATCATTTTCCATTAAGATTCAACCTTGAGATGATGTGTAGGTAGTCAAAAAGTCTCGAATAAAATACATGTGATAATAGCAAGCTGAGTCCAAAATTCATTCATCTCTCTCTTTAAGGAAGATGTTCACAAGACATGGTCTTCATCATTGTTGATCACAACATATTACTTTCTTTTTCTGCTGCTTACTACGAAAATATTTTTTTCAAGTGGTCTAGTTTGCTACACTTCCGACATTTCATCTTTTTTTTGTTGCCTTTCCTTGACTTGGACCAATTTTACGACTTGCTCACATTAGTGTATCGCTTCTCCAATCTCCCACGAGTGACATAGATGACAATAGAAGAAAAAAAAAGGTGTTGAAGAAAAAATCAACTTTTGTTTGATGTTGTCCGTCAACAAAGTTGTCACTACCTTGTTGTGAGTGATGCTCTTTGTCTTG